TAATCAAAATCTTGATCATTTAAAGCATCTATAATTTTATTAATTTGATTAGAACTTTCAACTAATTCATTCTTTATATCAAATAGTTCTTTTTTTAGTTGATTAATATCAACTTTTTCTTCTTCTTGTTCATAAACTATATGCTGATTAATGTTTAATTTTCCATCATAATTATTAAGAATGTCTTCATTAGATAGTACTTTAGCAAAATCAATATTTTCTAAGTTTTCATTATTATTAAATTTTTTAAAAATATCAATAACCATTTCTACTTTTTCTTTAGATAAAACTTGTTGAGTATTAACCTTATTGGTTTGGTGAGTTAAATCTAAAAATAAAACATTTTTGTGTTTTTTGTCTTTATTAAAAAATCAAATATTTGAAGTAATAGCTGTATTAGAAAAAACATTGTTAGGCAATCCTATTATTGCTTCAATTAGGTTTTTTTCTATATATTGTTTCCTAATCTCCCCTTCTTTTCCACCAACATTCCCGGCCGCCGCACTTTGCATTACAACCCCAGCAACCCCATTATCTTTCAAATGATATATAATGTGACTAAAAAAGTTGTAATTAGCTATCCCATCCCCTCAAACTAACCCAAACTCTTTAAATCTATCATCATTTTCAAGGATTCCATAATCTTCTTTTTTAAATGGTAGGTTAAATGGCGGGTTTGATAATACTATGTCAAATTTTTTGTTTTTGTGTAAATCATTGCTAAAAGTATCTTCTGCATTTCTCCCCAACTCAAAATTACAATCTCTAAGCAAAAAATTCATTTTTGCAATTTTTCAAACTTCTTCTAATTTTTCTTGACCATACAAATATATATTCCCTACATTAAAGCCATTTTTAGTTAGATATTCCAAACTTTTTATTAACATCCCCCCAGAGCCCATAGTCGGATCATAGATGTGGATATCACTAAAAACATTATGATCAAACTTACTTCCTAAAATATTGGACATTAACTGTACAATAGAACTAGGAGTATAAAACTCTCCACCTCTTTTTTCTATAGCGCTATATCTCCCCATAAAGTATTCATAAACTTGTCCAAAAGTGTCAAAGTATTTATCTTTATCATATTTAAAATTATTATCTATACATTCTACTAACTTATGAAAAGAGAATTTGAAAGACATAAAATCAATAATTCTTAAATCTTTTGCGTCCTCTTTCATAAATTTTTCCAATGAATCAAATACTTCATTAAATGCTTTTTTTAGATCATCTCCAGTAAAACTTCTAATGTTTGATCAGAGAAACTGATAGTCAACTTTTAATAGTTTAGCATCATTATGACATTCCAAAAAATCATCATAATTATTTTCATAATCATCTTTAACATTGTTTCATGTTAATTCACATTGCGACGTAGCAAATTTGATAAACAAGATTGATATAATGATCTTATAGTAATCAGATGATTTAATCTTACCTCTTAATCCATTTAATTCAGTTTCGATTTTTCTTAAATTTAAAGTATCCATATAGTTTGATTAAAATTTTAACTTAATTAAAAAAAATATTAATAGTCCTCTGATAATAGTTGAAAAAAATTGTTTATTATATTATTTATTAATTTTTGGTTAGTTAAGCTCTTATTGTTTTCTTTAATAACATTTGAAATGTTAAATTTAAGCCTAGTTTGAACTCTATTGCTATTAGATTTAATATCACGTTCTAATTTGTCTTTATTTTCAATAAAAAATTCATTTATTGTTTTCCATCCTAAGTCATCAAATTTGTATGAATTTCCTAGTTGTTCTTTAAATGTTTTTATCAATATTTTAGTATAGTCATCAAGATTGCGATCTAAGTTTGTTATCTCTTGTTGTATTCCAACAATTTGTTGGATTAATTGCTTTTCATTTTCTACTCTTTTATTTCATTTATTATAAATACTTATAATCCGGTCAATAAAATCATTCTTTTCTTGGTCTGTTAGAACTTTATTTTTTCTTATTTTTTTAATTAATTTATCTTTGATAGGTTTTATAAAAACACTAACATTATTGATATGAGGATTATCTATCAGTTTATCTAATTCTAAATCATTAATAACATAAAAACAATTTTCTATATCAATATAAGAATTCTTGTGAATTAATGCAATTTGTTCTTTTGTTAATTTTAAAACGGCTCGATCTTCTTTTTGTAGTTTTCAATAGGCTACAATAAGAATTTTAAGATATTCCAACTTTGTTTTTCATATCTCTTCTTCTTTTTTAAAATCCGCTAAATCCTTTGCAGAATAAATATCGTCTAAAATAGAAAGAACTTCTTTTTTTTTCAACTTCATTCATTAAATAAATTTCTCTAACAGTATCATTAATCCATACTACTAATTTGTTATCAACTACGGGGACAACATAGTGTTCTTCAAATTTTTTAATATTGTCAATAACTATAGCGGCAAAATTTTCATGACTATCAATGATAGGAGAATCATCTTTAGAATTTTCTCTATACATTTTCAATGCATCTTTTAATTCTGAAGTTAATGGTCTGAAACAAACAACAATCCCTCTTTTTTTATTTTTAAAGACTCTATTAACTCTCATTATAGCCTGGAATAAATTATGCTCTTTTAAGTCCTTGTCAATAAATAACATTCTTAGATTTTGAACATCATAACCAGTCAAACACTTATTTACCACTATTAAGATCTTATACTCGCTATTGTTAGGGTATCTAAATTTATCAATAATTTGAGATTCATTATGGCTTCTTAGGTATTCAGCTACTTCAACATCCTTTGGTGAATGCAAATGCGAATCACTAGCTATTAATTTTATTTGCTCATCATTGTCAGTAATTTTTCTTTCTTGTAGTTTTTTTTAACAAGGCTCAACCATGATCGATACTATTTGCAGCTATCATAGCCTTAAAAACGTCGTTTGTTCTATTTTCAGGAGTTAAATAATGATCATATTCAGCTTTTTTAAATTTAGCAACAATTTCATCAGCTACCAAGTTTAACCTTTCAGGGTGTAAATCTATATAATTTTGGCATGGTCATTTATATTTGTTTTTTTATTATTCAAACTTTCTAAAGCGGGATCATGGTTTATGTTTGAAAATTTAATTTGGAATCAATTAAAATTAATTTTAGTAATTACTTCATCTTCTTCAGCTTCTTTCATATTGTAAATATCAATATATTCACCAAATTTATTAGTAGTCTCCAAATCTTTTTTCATTATTGGAGAACCAGTAAAACCAATTAGAGTTGCATTAGGAAAAGAAGTTTTCATTTTATCAAAATATGAAGTAATTTGTTTTAAAACTACATCATTTCAATCATTTTTTATGTCATTTGAATCTTTTTTTTATAATACTAGTATCACTATCTTTATGTGTTCTATGTGCTTCATCTGTTAATATTACAATATCACTTCTATTACTAATGAGTTCATTATGAGAAAACTTTTGAGTCGTTGTCATATAGACGCCACGACTTTCAACATTTTTTAATATTTCTTTTAATTCATTTCTACTTTCAATTTTTTTTATTTTAGTATCAATTGTTACTTGATCTAAACTGGCAAATTGTCTAAAGATATTGGAAATTAAATCCTTCCTATCAACATCTATTATAAAAGTTGTCGATCCTATGCCAGATTTGTTTAATGCATTAGCTACTATGCTAGAAATAGTGATAGTTTTTCCAGAACCTGGAGCATGGTAAATAAGGCCCCAAGGCCCCCTTTTTTTCTCTTTTAGCACTTCCATAACCTTTATACTTGCTCTTAATTGATGATGTTTTAATATAATTTTTTTAGGGTTATTTCCTTTTTCAAACAAGACTCCATTTTTTATATAATTGTTAATAGAACTATAATTAAAAAAATGATAAAAAGTTTTTTCAATACGTTTAATTTTTGTTAATTCATCACCTTGAACTTCTTCTATTTTAAATCAATGTTCCAAATCAATATTAGGGGCTCCTACTTTAGCCATCATTTCTGTAGTCATAGCTATACATGCTGTATTAAATGTGAAAAACTTAGCGTTATCTCTAGCATATCTATTTATTTGATCAACAGCATTTTGTATTGTTGCTCTATTAACCATAGATTTTAATTCAAATACATATATAGGAAGCCCGTTTAATAAAATAACCAAATCAAGTCTAGATTGAAAACCTATCCAAACTTCTTTTGCTATTTCTCAAATATTATCATTGATTTTTTGTTCATCATATAAGTTATAGTTTTTTGACTCATTATTTTCATTCTTTATATGAATAGAAGTTCGCAAATAATTAATGCCAACTTTATTGTTAATTAGCCAATTATCTATTGATAGATCAGATTCAATCGTTTTAATAATTTTTTTTATTTCATCATCAGTTATATTAGGATATCTATTTTTTAAATATTTATTAAACGATGGTTTATATATAAATTTATCATAAATTTCATCCTTAGAAATTGTTATTGGTCGAAACCCACATTTAGAAACTAACTGATTAAGATAATAATCCCTTGAATCATTTTCTGATATATTTGATTTATTCATTATCATAATTTTAAACAAAAATAACACTTTTATAGTTAAAACTAATAAAACTAATACTTAATACATAAAGTAACAGTTAATTACTATAAAAAAAGAGCAACTAATGATTGGTTGCTCTTATTTAATTTATATTATTTATTGTGAATTAAAGTTATATATTACTTAACTAGATATTCTAAAATGGTTTTAACCATTATCCCTTTACCTCTTTTATTTTCATAAGCTGTTCCTGCTATATCAAAATGAATGGCAGGTTTATGATTAGCAAATTCAAATAAAAAAGCTGCCGCTGTAGAAGCTCCTGCTTTTAGTTCTCCAGGAAAATTATTTAAATCAGCAATTTTAGAATCTCTCATCACATCATAATGTTCATCAATTACTGGAAGTTGTCAAATTCTTTCTTTGCTAGTATGAGCTTTACTAATAAATTCATCATAGAAGTTTTGATTATTACTAAAACTTCCAACCATTCATTCTCCCAAAGTTCTTCTGCATGATCCAGTTAAAGTAGCCACGCTAATTACTTTATCAACATTAGCTTTTTCGACAAGATAACTAATCCCATCTGCCAAAACTAATCTTCCTTCAGCATCAGTGTCACCAATTTCTACATATTTACCACTCAATGATTTAACAACACTTTCTACTAAAGTGGCGTTTTGACCAATTCTATTGTCAGTTAATCCAGCTACAGCTATTACATTAATGTTAGGCTTAAGACAAGAAAGCCCGTACATAACCCCAGTCACCACAGCTGCTCCTGACATATCGAATTTCATATTTATCATAAAATCTGATGATTTTAGAGAATATCCTCCACTATCAAAAGTGATTCCTTTACCAACAAGGCCAAGTTTTTCTTTTGAACTAGGATTCCCTAGATATTCTATAATTATAAATCTTGCTTCTTTATTAGAACCGGCATTAACTGCTAAAAGTAGACCCATTCCTAACTGTTCTATTTCTTTTTTGTTTAAATAACTAACTTTTATGTTATCTTTATCCTTAAAAAGTTCTAATGCTCTAACTACATATTCTTCGCTATTTAATATGTTAGGTGGGGTATCTTGTAAATCACGAGTGATATTAACTGAAATAGCTTTAACAATAGAATTATTTAATGTAGTTTCTAACTCGCTAGTGATATTTGAAACTAGTAAGTGATAATTATTTAAACAACTTTTTTTTATCGCATTTACAATCAAAACAAGATGAACTAGAATTACAATTATTATCTTTTAAACAACTTTTTTTATCGCATTTACAATCAAAACAAGAACTAGACTTATTACAACTACTTTCTGCTTCGCATTTAACGTCGCATTGATTTTGACAACAACATCATCTCTTGTCATTTTTTTACTTTGTATGGCGAATGCAAAGTATAAATAATAGATTCAGTTCAAAGTTGAACTATATCTCTTTGACTGGTTTCATTTAAAATAAAACTATCAATATCAATTTCTAGATCAAAATTAGTTGAAATTTTACCAATAAAATCTTTTAATGCTTTTTCTAACTTTCAATAATTTAGTTTTTCTTTTTTACCTAAAAAAAACTTTATTATTTTCTTTTCAGGGCAGATTAAGTAATTATTTTTTTCATTTTTAATTACAGAACAAGTGTTTTTTTGATCTTCAAAAACTCCTTTAATTAAATATAAATCTTCATTTCTTTTATCTATCAACTTTATTTTATTTTTCATAATTAAATATTTTATAACTTTAAATTACAAAAAACTTTCTAATTGATATAAATAAATAATTTAAATAGATTTTTGTTCTATGATTTGGAATGGCTCATCCAATTCTTTTTGTAGCTTTTGTCCTTCAATAGTAGACATACGCGCTTTTTCAATTTTGGTTGATAATAAAAGAAATATACTATCAATATAAATGAATAGAATGCTAACAATAACCCCATTTTAATTAATGGATTTGCTTGTAATTTACCATCTTTATATAATGCTTCGAATTGGTTAACAAAAAACATTGTAATTTGTAATATCATAAAAGCAAAAGCAATTCCATAAGCTATTCATTCATATCATTTCATTGTTATATTCTTTTTGTATGCAAAATAAAATACAACCAAAATCGCTAGTGAGTAAGTGGTTAAGTTTAATATCGAAGTAAGGCCAGATACATCGGAAATATTAAAAGGCATTGAACTCTTACCATTTGTAGCTCAACCAATTATGTCAGGTAAAATAACCATTAAAATAATTGTTGTTATAGCTATTGACATATTTACCATAATAGCTTTCATAGGTAAATTATCTTTATTAAGATCGCCAAATTTTTCTGAAATATAACCTTCTTTTGAAAGGGGTTGTAAAATATACCTACCTCCATAGAGTGTCTTTTGATACCAAGCATTCATTCTTATCAAAAAAGTAAGAATAATCATCAGTCATAAGCCAAACTTTCCTCCATTTTCACCTAATTGATTAAAAAGTTGAAAAATTGGGTTGTCAGAAAAACCTTTGGTTTTAATTGCTCCAAACATAGCTAATGTAAAAACAACATAAAATACCATCACAAAACCAATAACAATATTAATTGCGGTCGGTATTGTTTTCTTTCTATTTTTAATTTGTTTTCCCATAGTAACCACTGCTTCTAATCCAGTATAAGAAAAGAAAATCGATATAACTACTTTATTAAAATTACTAAATTTAAAATCTATTAAACTAGAATCAAATTTATCCAAAAATGGCTCACTACCATTTTTAGCAAAATTTACTATTGTCAAAATAATTACTAAAAATGAAAACGCCCAAATGCAACTTATAAGATATGTTGCATATTTTTTAAACTTAGATCCACCTAATAAGACAATAGAGCAAGCTAGTAAATAGACTCCAATAGCGATTAAATCTAAATATAAATGCCCCCCCCAACCTCACAAAGAAGGTGTTGTAATGTCATCAGGTTGGGACACAATCAAAGGTATGCCCTCACCATTTTTCACAATATAACCAAAACTGTTTTTAAACGCCCCTATTACCGGTCCTGCTATAGTAATTGGCAAAACTGCATATTGAAAAACTGCACAAAAGAAACCTCAAAACCTACCAAAAGCGGTTCTAACATATTGATAGGTTCCGCCATTAGTTGTAGGAAAGATGTTTATTAATTTAACATATGCTCTAATACAGACATAGGCTAAAGCCCCAACTAAAACATAAATCCAAATAATATGCCAACCCATCTGAGGAGTTGATTTTGTACCATCTCATCCAGCCATTATGCTAACAAACATTAATGTATAACTTATCCCAAAAACATAACTAATACCCATCATTGTTACATTTTTAAGTGTAAGCTGTTTTTCTTGATCTTTTTTCATAATAAAAAAATAATAAAATTATAATAAATAATTGCTTAATAATGACTTAATTCATAATAATAAAAACTTAAACTTTTTATTTAATCAAATAGTTTCTTTATAATTAAATTTACTTTTTTATGAATAAATCATTATTAAATTCATTGGAAAAAATTAAATCTCGTTATTTAGAAATTGAAAATTTATTATTAGATTCTAAAGTTATTTCTGATTTAGAACTTTACAAGAAACTAACAAAAGAGCAAACTGAGCTTAGTCCTTTATTTAATACATATAACTTCTATCTATCGACTTTAGAACAAATAAAACAATCTAAAACTATTTTAAATGATGAAACTGACCAAGAATTAATTCAATATGCTAAAGAAGAATTGCATACTTTAATAGAACAACAAAAAACCCTAGAAAAAGATTTACAAATTCTGATTTTACCAAAAGATCCAGATGATAAACGTAATGTTATTATGGAAATTAGAGGGGCTACTGGTGGTGATGAAGCTAATATTTTTGCAGGAGACTTATTTAATATCTACCAAAAATGAGCCTATTTAAATAATTTTAAAATAAATATTTTGACTTCTTCTGAAGGAGAAGCTGGTGGTTTTAGTCAACTTATTTTTGAAATTATAGGTGAAAACGCTTATGGGAAACTAAAGTTTGAAACAGGTGCACATAGAGTACAAAGAGTACCAGTAACTGAAGCATTAAATAGAATTCACACTTCCACTGTGACAGTAACTGTGATGCCAAAGGTTGATGAGGAAATTAATATCGAGATAAATCCTAGTGATTTAAGAATTGATACTTATCGGGCATCAGGTGCTGGTGGACAACATGTAAATAAAACAGATTCGGCTGTAAGAATAACTCATTTGCCGACAAACATTGTTGTTCAATCACAAGATGGAAGAAGTCAAATAGCAAATCGTGAAATGGCACTAAATTTATTAAAAAGTAAGTTATATGAACTAGAAATAAGAAAAAAGCAAGACCAAGATTCTTTTTATCGAAAAATGGCGGGCTCTGGTGCTAGAAGCGAAAAAATTAGAACTTATAATTACCCACAAGATAGAGTAACAGATCATAGAATTAATCTATCTATTTCTTTAAAAACTGTTTTAAATGGTAAATTAGACTCTATTATTAATTCATTATTAGCTTTAGAGCAAAGTCAAAAAATAGAAAATGCAACTAATAAACAAAATTAAAAAATTTTTACATTTTAAAAAAATACATAATTTAAAAGCTAAAATCAATAATAAAGAAAAAAAATTACTAATTAAAAACGCTCCATTTCAAAAAATTATTGGTTTTATTGATTTTGATAATTTAAAAATTAAAGTAAATAAAAAAGTTTTAATTCCTAGATATGAAACTCAAGAAGTAGTAGAATTTGCTTTAACAAAAATAAAAGAAAATGATTCTATTTTGGATTTAGGTTGTGGAAGTGGTTATATTGGTCTAACAATAAAAGCTAAAAAACCAAATACCAAAGTAGTCTGCTCTGATATTAGTAAAAGTGCAATCAACCAAACAAAAGAAAATGCATATATTAATAAATTGGACATAAAAATTATTCAATCATCTTGATTTAAAAATATAAATCAAAAATTTGATGTTATTATATCTAACCCACCTTATATAAAAAAAGATTATAAACTAGATGATTCTGTTATTAAATTCGAACCTAAAAATGCACTTTTTGCTGGTAATGATGTAAATAAAAACTATAAAAAAATACTAAAAGAAGTGGATAATTATCTAAAACCTAATGGTTATTTAATTTTTGAAATATCTAAAGATAATCAAAAATTTTTAGAAGATAAAGGTTTTACTATTTTAAATGATATAAACAATAAACCGAGAATCGCTTATAAAACTTGACAAATTGGACAAAAATAAGTCCCTCTATTACTAATCATTATTTTTTTTATAATTCCTTTTTGACACCTAGAACAAGTTTTGTTGGTTTGAAAATAGGCTTTTAGATCATTTTGATAATAACTTTCAACTTCATCTAATGCTTTGAAAGTTGCTATTTTAGTCCCATTTTTTAAAGTTGCTTCTTTTAAAACTTGGATTGCATTTTGGATTATTTCTTTTCATTTAAAAAAAGTAATATTTTTGCAAATTGTTAAAGGGTGTATTTTAGAATGCCATAAAACTTCAGATACATAGATATTTCCTAATCCCAAAAATTGAGTTTGATCTAGTAAATAATTTTTAATATTAATATTTCTTTTAATGCAATTTTTATAACTTAAGCTTATATCTAATTTTTCAAAATCAACTCCCATATCCTTAATTGGCTTGATTGTTTTTCAATTATCTTTTCTTCTTAAATAAAATGTACCAAACTTTCTTACATCTTTATAGAATAAATATTTATTATTATCCAAATAAAAAACTAGATGTTCATGTTCTTCTAAATTTGACTTATTAGAAATTCGATATTTTCCTTCCATTCTTAAATGCGATAAAAGAATTAAATCTTTTAACTCAAAAACAATAAATTTGCCATAATTAGTTATGTTTAATATTTTTTGATTTTTTAATTTTTCTTTAAATTCTTTAACTTCAACTTCTTTAATTAATTTATCAAATAATATTTCTACTTTTAATATAGTTTTGTCTTTTAAATAATGATTAAGATGTTTTACTACGGTTTTTTACTTCTGGTAATTCAGGCATAATATAATTTTAAAGTTATAATTATATAAATGGTTTATAAAGATTTATTTATTGCTACCACTGATACAGTAGTTGGAATAGGAGCAAAAGTAAGTACATCGAATTTAGAACTTATTAATAAAATTAAAAAAAGACCACCACATAAGAAGTTGGTGATTATGATTTCTGATTATAAACAGGCTAGAAGTTTTAAAAAATGAAATCAGCAAATAGAAGAGTTTTCTAAACAATATTGACCAGGAGCTTATACATTAATAATCGATCATGAGTTAGCGCTAAGAATGCCTAATAATAAAAAATTACTTGCTTTAATAGACAAAATAGGACCCATTTATATGACAAGTGCTAATATATCTGGGGAACCAGTTTTAAGCTTTGAAGAAGCAATAAAAAGATTTAATATAATTAAAAAGCATTATAATTTTGGAGAAGGTAGCAATATACCATCTAAACTAATAGATGTAAAAACGAAAAAGGAAGTGGAGAGAAAATAATTATGATAAAAAAAATTATTATTGCTAGTGATCATGCTGGATATGATTTAAAAGAAGCGATTAAAAAACATTTTAGCAATGTTGATATAAAGATACTTGATTTAGGGGCAAACGATCCTGATAAAGCTATTTCCTATGCACAACAGGGTCAAAAATTAGCAAACACTCTCTTAAAAACTAAACACAGTCTTGGAATAGGAATTTGTGGGACAGGAATTGGTATTTCTATCGCAGTTAATCGATTTAAAGGTGTTAGAGGAGCAAAAGTAAATACTTTAGAAGAAGCCAAATTAGCTAAAAAACATAATGATGCAAATGTGTTAATATTTGGCGGAAGAATTGTAACTCCAGAAAAAGCAATAAGAATGATTAATCATTATTTAAAAGAAGATTTTGAACAAGGAAGACATTTAGATAGAATAAATCAACTTGATAAATAAAAATTAGTATATACTAGTTTATAATTGCTTACTAATTAAGATAAGCAAATTTTAAAATAAAAGATTAATAATTTAAGGAGTTATGTTTTGGCAAATATTAATATTTTTGCACTAGGTGGGCAAGATGAAAATGGTAAGAACTGTTATGTTTTAGAAGTTAATAATGACATTTATATCATAAATTATGGGATTAAAGTCCCTATCACTAATAAATATGGAGTTGATTGTTTAATCTCAGATTATCAATATTTATATACAAGACAAAATAGGATAAAAGGTCTTTTTATCACTCATGCTCATGATGAAGTATTTGCAGGCTTGCCTTGATTATTGATGGAATTTCCTAACCTTAAGATATATGGAAGTCATTTTACTAATGAAGTTATTAAAGACAGAATTTCAAAATATAAAATAGAAAATGATACTTATGAAATTATTGACCTAAAAAATCCTATTAAATTAGGTAATGTTACAATTAAACCCTTTTCACTAGCTAATTCAATACTTGGTAGTTATGGTTATAACTTCCAAACAGAAGATGGCGATATTGTTTTTATGTCTAATTTTGTAATTGATGACTTAGATATTTTTGGTAAAACGGAAATAGAAAATATTTCAAAAAACCCTTTAATGCTATTAATGGATGCTAGAAAAAGTAATTATTCAGGCCATTCTGCTAATTTTAAATCTATTACTGGGATAGTAGAAAAAACATTTAAAAAATATAAAGATAAACAAAAAATAATAGTTGGTGCATATGATGAAGAAATGTATGTTTTAAAAGAAATTTTAGAACTAGCAATCAAATATGATAGACCAGTTGCTTTTTATGGAAGAGTTTTTCAATTTTTGTGTGATCTTTTAGTTAAACTTTATCCCAATTTTAAGTTACCTAAAATCGTTAATTATAAAAATGTTAATCAACATGATGATGTAGTGGTATTGATTACTAGCACATGATCTAGACTATACCAAAGGTTTGTAAGAATTGCTGAAAATGAAGATGTTTATCTTAAATTAAAAAGTAGTGATCAAATTGTAATGATTGCCCCCCCTATTAATGGAATAGAAGTGGAATATACTCAAATGTTAGATAAAGTCTTACCTATCAGCCCATCTTTGATAGAAGTTAATTTTACTGATTACTATTCTTTTAGACCAGCTGCAGATGATATAAAACAAGTAATAAAAATTTTAAAACCAAAATATTTTATTCCAATTTCAGCACTATATAGATATTTAGCAGTTTCTAAAAAATTAGCTATGGAAGTAGAGATGAATCAAAACAATATTTTTGTTATCCAAAATGGAAGAATAGTTTGGTTAAAAGATGGCCAATTAGTAAGTAGCAAAAATAAATTAAAACAATATGGCGAAATTATTATCGATGGTTTTGGAGTAGGCGATGTATCTTTTGGAGTTATCAAAGAAAGAGAACTATTAGCTGCTAATGGTTTTCTTACAATTTTAATTCAATTAGATAAAAAAACAAAAACACCGCTCGAAAATGGTATAAAAATGAAATTTGTTGGGGTAGCTCCTAGTGAAAAAGTTGAAACTATTGAACCCCTAATACTCAAAAACATACTAAGCAAATTTACCAAAAATGATGAAAAATGAAATTCAAAAGAGATTCAAAACACTTTAAAAAGAAGAATCCAAAAACTAATCTTTAAGTTAATTGATAAAACTCCAATGATAATAATTAATTTTTTTGAATTATAGAATTAATTTAAAATAATAAAAGCATAAAATTTGAAATATGAATTACAAAAATAAGATCTCTCCATACTATCGTTGATATCAAGACAAAAAAATTCTAGCAATTTTTGCTCTAATAATCATATCCACTATTTTTATATTAGGGTTTGTGGAAATACCATTTTTATCTAGTATTCATCGTTATACAGTCGGGATGCTATTTGGATATCATAGTGTTATATTTTATTTGTATGCGATTTTGATATGTTTAAAGATAATATTTTTTAAAAATTTTTCAAAGTTAAAATTCATAAACTTATCCCATTTTTCATTTTGATTTTTGTTTTTAGCTATTATTTTGTTTTCGGTTGGAGGGATTCCTGGGGTAGTAGGATACCAACGTTTCTCATTAAAAGCTTTATTTACTAATAGCGATGAAACTTCTTGGAAAATTAAAACTTGATGAGAGAAATTTACAAAAAGCGAAAGCGCTTGATTCCCAAAACACACTAACGGGGGATTTGTAGGAGCATTATTATATTCAATATTCGCATCCTTAATTACTGGTATAGGAGTGTTTTTGTATCTATATTATGGTTATTAGCTGGCATATCTTTAGTTTTCTATTCATCATTTTCTGCAGTTTATAAAAAATTAATTTTTAAAAAAGTTTTAAAGAAAAAACAAGAAGAATTACCACTTGAAAAACAAATTATTTTAAAAGAAAAAGATAAAAAAAATAAAATTGATAATCCTTTTGATGAAAAATAATATATAATTTATTACTAATTATGCCTAATCGTAGAAAAAAATCCTTTCTAAATCATAGAAAAAGAAAGATTAAAAAAGGGCACATTGTTAATATAACAAAGTTAGAAAAAGCAACTTTTAATCTTAAATAACATAAATGACAAAAATTCGCACTCGTTTTGCTCCTAGTCCGACCGGAAAATTACACATAGGTGGTGCAAGGACGGCATTATTTAACTATATATTTGCAAAACATTATAATGGTGAGTTTATTTTAAGGTGTGAAGATACTGATACTAAAAGAAATATTGATGGTTTAGCAAAAGAAATAGCACAACAGTTAGAATGGTTGGAAATTAAGCCTGATATGTCTTATTTGTATGATCCTAGTTTAATTCAAAGCAATAATTTAGATAAATATAAAAAATATGCTTTTTATTTATTAGAAAAAGACTTAGCTTATAAGGCTTATGATAATCAAGTTGAATTAGAAAAACAAAAAGATGAGTATAAATTAAAACATAAGAATAATGCCTTTCGTTATGACCCAAATTGATTAAAAATTAGTGAATCAGAGAAACAAAAAAGAGAAGCTGAAAATCAATATGTTATTAGGTTGAAATTAAATACAAAAGATTATCATTGGAATGATTTAGTTAGGGGTGATATTACTATAAAAAGCCAAGAATTAGATGATTTTGTGATTTTAAAAAATGATAAATACCCTACTTACAATTTTAGTGTTGTAATAGATGATCATGAACAACAAATAAGTCATATTCTTAGAGGTGAAGAGCATATTACTAATACTGCTAAGCAAATAGCTCTCTATGAGACATTTAATTGGACTATACCAAAGTTTGGTCATTTAACTATTATAGTCAATGAGTTTGGCCAAAAATTATCTAAAAGAGATGAAAAAACAAAGCAATTAATAGAAGAATTTATTAAGCTTGGTTATCCTAAATTGGCTATATTTAACTACTTAACATTATTAGGTTGAAACCATAAAGATTCAAAAGAAAAAATGGATATTGACAAAATAATAAAGGATTTCGATCCATCTCGTTTTGTAAAATCACCATCACAATTCGATCAAAAAAAACTTGACTGATTTGCAAAAGAATATTTTCAACAAATAAATGATAAACAAATAATTGATTCAATACAAGATTTTAAACAGTTTGATAATTATTGAATCAAAACTTTTTTAGATATTTATAAACCAAGTGCAAGATGTATTAATGATTTAAAAATACTTGTAAAACAATACATAGTACCTCAATTAGAAATTAAGGATAAACAATTATTATTAATAGAACCTGTTTTAACATTTAAAAAACAACTTCAATTAACAGATGATTGGTCTATTGATGGAATAGAAAATGCACTTATTAAAACAAAACAATTAACTAATATAAATGGTAAAAGTTTTTTTATGCCAATTAGGCAAGCTACAACTTATAATGAACATGGTCCTAAATTAGCAACTGCTATTTTTCTTTTTGGCAAAGATGTTATTTTTAAAAGATTAGCAATTTAAAAAAATTATAAAAGTTAGCAATTACTTTTTTGATTTATACATTCTATTAAATCTTTCAACTCTACCAGTTGAACGAGCCATTTGACGATTCCCTGTATAAAATGAGTGAGAGGCTGAAGAAGTATCTATATTATATAATGGATAAGTTTTACCTTCATATTCAATTGATTTATCGGTATTAACTGTTGATTTAATTAAAAACATAGTATTACTAGAAGTATCTTTAAACACTACTTCACGATAATTTTGGGGATGGATATTTTTTTTCATAAAATTAAAAAGTATAAATTATTTTACCACAAATTAAGCTTTATCGTTTGAACCAAACATATAAATTTTATCTTTCACTACTTTTTTAATAGCTAAATTAGCATTTTTTAATAATTTTCTTGGATCATAATTTTTATCTTTTTCTATATCATTATTATGGATATAGTCTTTAATAGCTCTAGCATAAGCTTGTTGCAATTCTGTATTTACATTAATTTTTACAATTCCTAAAGAAATGGCTTTTTTGATTTGATTAACTTCAATTCCAGAGCCACCGTGTAAAACAAAACCGACATTTACTTTTTGCTGGAAAGATTCTAATTTATCAAATGCCAAGCTTTTTCAACCGATTGGATAAACACCGTGAACATTACCAATACCAACAGCAACAACATCAGGTTTTAAACTAGCAATTTTTATCACTTGATCAATATTAGAAATTTCACCAACAAATTGTTCCATACCATAACCTTGGCCACCAATTTTTCCAACTTCTACTTCTACTGAAATATTTTTAGTTTTTGCTAAGTTAATTAATTCTTTAGATTTATTAAAATTTTCTTCAAACGGCAAATTTGAACCATCAAACATAATGGAAGTAAAACCAGCTTCAATTGCTTTTAAACAATCATCATAATTACCATGATCCAAATGTAAAGAAACAGGAATAGTGATATTCAAATCTTTCACAAGAGATTCAACGATTGCTTTAACAACACTAAACCCCCCCATATAGTTAATTGCCCCTTTGGAAACACCTATAATTAATGGCGAATTAACTTCTTGGGAAGCCTCTAAAACATTTTTAGTTCATTCTAAATTATTAATATTAATATGAGGTATAGCATATTTGTCTTTATATGCTTTATCAATCATTGATTTAATATTAACAAGCATTAATCTTTATTTTCCAAAATTTTAATCTTTGATTCTTTTAATTCTTTTAATGTTAAAGTTTCTGTTAAAACTCAATTTTGTTCTTCTTTTTTAGTAAAGAGATTATCAACTGTTAATATTTGATAAAGTTCTCCCATTTTTCTTTCATCTATTTCAGAACTAGTTAAATCTTTATAACTTTTTTTTCATTCATTATTCATTTCTTTTTTTAAATTATTAAAAATTTGAGTAAAAGTTGCTTCACCTTCATTTTTTAAAAAGTCATATATTTTTTGTTTCATAAATTATTATTTTAAATTTTATCCTATAAATTATAGCTTATTATTATAGAATAGAAACTTACTTGGCGACTTTATTTTTATTACTATTTTTTAGCAAATAAATTATTAATTTTTCAACAAGCATTAATATAGTGCTAAGACCAATGAATATACCAAAAATTGATAATTTAGCTATGCTTGAAATTTTATCATTTAAATTATTGTAGTTATGTATTTCAACTAATTCGATCGTAATTTGAGAAATAAAGAAAAATGAAAAAGCTATAAAAGTTATTCAAATAATAATCTTGTTTGCTCTAGTTAGTTTTTGGTTTAGTTTTTCTTTATTAAAAAGCAAACCAAAAGAACATATGCTTAATACTACAAAAAGAAATAAACTAGTGTAGTTCATTAATAAATCAGAAAAATGGAATAAACTAGTGCTATCTCCATAAACTGATTTATTTCAAGATCCATCAAAAGTAAATCCATATTTAACTATAAATGTATATATCAAAAAATTTATTATTAAGATTGATAGTACATATACAAATACCGAAATCTTTTGTTGGTAGGTCTTATTTTTATCTTTAAAAATAATTCTGTGAATCAAACTAACATCTTCATTTTTATTATCTTCTTGTTTTAATTTTCCTAATATTGTTAAAACATAATTAGAAGTAATACCATTTATAACTCCCATTACCCCTATCATAATGATGCATTGAAAAAAAATTCTTATACCTTTTTGCTTTTCGCTAAAAAGACTAGTATAAGCTCCATCTCTAGTCCCGACTAATAATCCGCCAGATATTATTAAATAAATTGTAGCTATGACTCCTACACCTATTAGCATAGCCTTTCTTATTTTTTTTACATTGTCAAATTTATCTTTTCATATAGCAACTACATAAAATGAATCGAAACTTAATAAAATAGTAGGTATACCCAATAAGAAAATTAGTCATTTATAATCTGATAATAATCCTTTTGGTTGTTCTAATGATTCAATTGGGGGTAATTTATCTTCTCCTACTATTCCATAAATATAACCAATAATAGGTATTGATGTGATTGAAATTATTTTTACGAAAAAACACAATTTAGATATAAAAATTGAACTGTTAGTTGACATAATATTAATAATTACTATCAATAATAAAAATAAAAAACCTAGAAATATATGTAATCAAAAACTGTTTTCTGGCAAGACATTTAACTCAACTAATACTGATATTAGATAAAAAATACTAGAAAAAAGAACAGCAGGAAGAAAACAATATTTAAATCCAAAATAAACTATTTTATAAAACCAATTTGGTGTAAAAGACTTAACTCAGCCGATCAAATTATTTTCTTTTGTTTTAGAAAGAATCATTAAACTCACACAATAGACTAATAAAAATATAAAGATTATTGCTAAAATTCAAGTCATAATGACTCATTTTCAATCATAATTTGCCATTTTTAATAGCTCTTTATTCTTGAAAAATATACCTACACCTACAACGGAGTTTATAACTAAGCCGATACCAAGAAGTAAACCAATTTTTTTATTCATTTTAAAAACTATTTTATATGTTATTATAAATTCTTAATAAATATCAATGTTTTTTTGTAATAAATATAAGATTACATTAAAATCAAAATTAGATAAATAGATTATTTTCAATATTATAATTTACTTGAAAAAAAGGAGTACTCCATAAAATAAATAATTTATAAACTTATGAACGAATCATTAAAACAAAAACCTAAATTTTGATTTAATAAATTTAGTATTTTTAAGAATAAAAATTATGGCTTGATAATTAGCTATTTTTTACAAGTTTTACTTCCTACTATTTGGATATTTTTTAGAGCTAAAATTATAAGTTGACATAACGATATTTCTATTATTCCGCTAGTTGGTTGGGAATATGTTTCTATCGTCTTAGAATCTTTTTCTATAGCTTTAATTAGCCCCATTTATTCTTATATTAAAAAGATTAATAACAACTCGGTTGAAAATGCTAATAAATTAAACAATGTGTTTTTATGCACCGGGGGGGGTATTTATTAGTTACCATTACGATTTTTTTATCTATTACCCCAATTCTTTCATCATTAAATTTACAAAATAATGATTTTCCAAATCAACTTACATTTATAAAGTGGCAAGTATGGTCTAACTATTTTGATTTTTTAATAAAAATATCGATGATTTTTATGTTATCTATTGGTAAGATTAGATATTTTTTAATATTACTAGTCCCCAAATTTTTGTTATATATATTGGTTGATTTTTTACTGCAATATATGTACATAGGCATAGATAACGTATATACATTGTTTGGTATTTCAAGTATTTTTACAAATCTATTTGTTCTTTTGTTGGCGATAATATTAATAGCTAAATATTTTAATTTTAAAAATTATTTTTCTAAGTCTTCGTTTAAAACTGATTGAAAGAGCATATGGAATCATTATAAGAGCAGTTGACATATTGCTTTTTTAGAAAGTTTTATCAATAATTTATTTTATCTCTTTATTATAATTAAAGTAGTTAATGGTTTAGCAAAAGCTGAAGCATATTGGTTGGCTATAAAAATAATTTTTGGACTCACTTGGCTAATATCTTCTCTACTATTAATGAGTTATTCAAAATAGAAATTAGTAATACTGATGATAAGTTAATCAATAAAAAAGTTATATGTTATAGTTTTGGTAGTGTTATTTTATTTTTAATATTTGCAGGGATATCATTATGATTTTTTAAACCACTTGTTTTATGACTTACAAATAATCAAAAATTAACAGATGATGCTTATAGTATCTATTTTATTATGGTGTTCTTTTTTAGTTTTTATGTAGTTAGTACTATATTAGATAGCTTTTTTATAGCTAAAAATAAAATGAAGTATATGCTTTATGAATCGTTAATTGTTAATTTTGTATTTTATTTAGGTTTCTTTTTATTAATATCGACAAACATAATACCAAAAACTATTAACTCTTATGTATGGTTTTTTAGTATTACATTTGTGTTTTCAT